ACAATAAGCTCCCTGGTGACGTATGTTAATATTACCTAATTATCATTACCTAATGCAGGTCTGTTAGACCAAGGTTAACCATCTATGTTTGCCAAGAATCACAGCATGGAAGAAGTATTTCACAGCTGACTAGCTCACAAGATAATGAAAATGGAGAGGGAGACAGTCGTGCAATATATGGTAAGCAAATCTACTCTTTCAATTTCTCTCATTATCTTTATTAGAAATATAAAGATCATGAATTCTTTGCTGGTAGGAATGTTTCCATTCCATTTTTGAATACTGTAATTGGTCCTTGTTCCCCCCCAGTTGCAGTTAAGAGCTTGCATCCTACCCTCAACAACTACTCCTCCTACTGCTATGAATTGATTCAAATCAAAACCTGAAGTGTATGATGATTGACATCCTTTTGTTTTATATTTTGAACTGTTGATAAGGCTAAGGAATATTGTATACTATATGTAGATTGATTAGTTAACAGCAGGAGGTAGAAATGGTCATTTTTCTGGTTGGCAAGCTGTAACTAATAGAGTGCCACAAGGATTAGTGTTGAGTCTTCAACTAATTTACCCTCTCTAATCAGTGATTTGAATGACAGTACCAAATGTATATTTGCTCAGTTTGCTAATAACACCAAGTTTTAGGAAATTAAGTTGTCAATAGGACATAGATTGTCTCTAAGTTGAATCGACAGGTTAAGTGAGCAGGCAAAAATTTGGCAGGTGGTGTAAAAAGTGGGTAAATATGAATTGACAATGTTGGCAGGAAGAGGAGAGGCTGCGTACTTTTTAAATGAAGAGCTATTTCAGAACTCGGTGATTATAGAGGAAACTGTCTGCGTAAATGAATTTCAGAGTTAGTATACAACAATTAGGGATGCAAATGGAATATTTTTGTTTATTGCAAGGGGTAATGGAGTAGAAAAGTTAGGAAGCTTGATTGCGGCTGTACCGAGTGTTTGTTGACACCATATATGGAGTACTGTGTATAGATCTAGTTTCCTTGGAGAGAAAATTTACTTCAGAAGAAATTCAGAAAAGGTTCACTTGACTCATTGTAGAGGCTTATCAAATGAACCAATTCCTAACCTGTCCATCTATGTCCATTTGAGTTTAGAAGACTTTGGGAGGTGACCTTAAAGTGCATAAAACTTAAGGGGATTGGTGGGGATGGGTTGGGATAGACACCAGGAGGATATTTCCTCTTGTAGGGAAAACTAAAACCAAGGGGGCATAGTTGACAAATAAGATGTTTCCTTGTTGAATCAGATGAGATTTTTTTTCTCTCTCCGTGTTGTTATAATTTGGAATTCTCTTCCACGGAATGTAGTGCAGGCTAGATCTTTCAATCTGTTCAGGGCTGAATTAACATATTTTGAGAGCAAGCAAGTTGAGGATTGAGATGCACACAGTGGAAAGAGGAACCTGATCAGCTTATGATTTATTGAATGAATCGTGCAGGTCTAGTGACCTATTGCTAAGTTCCTACGTAGTATTTGTTTGTAGCCAAGTGCAAGTTATAATTGCAGATTAACATCTGTCCCATAGCTAACTTCACCACAGTTCTTCATGTCTCACGTCCTATAAGGATTCCATGCCATTCTCCCAGTGCTATCACTCACGTTATTATCTGTTCGGATGATGACACCTTTCAAAACAGTGCTGTTGACATGGGTTCCGTCTTCCATTAACCAAGTTTTCCCGCCTGAGCCCTCAACTGCATCTGACCTATCACCCATGCTTCTGTCCTTGCCCCTTCCCATCACTCTCAACAGCATGATCGGGCCCCCTTGTCCTCACTTTTCATCCCACCAGCCTCTGAGTTCAAAGGATCATCCTTCACCATTTTCAGACAACTCCAACAGAATGTCATCACCAAACACATCATTTTTCCCTCATTCTCCATGTCTGCATTTCGCAGGGACAGTTCCCTCCGGGACACCCTAGTCCATTCCTTGATCACCAACGTCATCCCAACTTCCCATGGCACCTTCCCATGTAACCATAGAAGGTGCAACACCCAGCATTTCACTTGTACCTCCTCCAATCTGGTCTGTTGCATTCGCCGCACCCAGTGTGGCCTCCTCTACGTTGGAGAAACTAAATGCAGACTGGGTGACCGCTTTGCAGAACACCTCCGGTCTGAGCACAAGCATGACCCTGACGTATTTTGATGAGCAAGCTGCCGTTCCTGTAGATGGTCATTTTAATGCAGCATCCTGCTTGTATGCCTACTTGTCTGTCTTTGGCATGCTGCAATGCTGCAGTCAATCGCAATGCAAACTGGAATAACAAAATCTCATCTTCAGACTGGGCACTTTATGACTGTACAATCTTCTGGTCTTAATATTGAGTTCAACACCTTCAGATTGTGAACCCACTCCCATTCCTTGCCTGCCTTTTAGCTTTACTTGTTGCATTCTTTGTCACCATGTCCTGTCTCCCCTGCCCCCACTCCAGTTGGACTGTGTATTCTTTCCAGTTTGGCAGTTAGACACGCCATTGTTCTGCCATTCTCACATTCCGATCACTTAATCTGTTCTATTAGCAGTCTTTCTCCCCTAGCACGCCATCCTCACACTATTGCATAAATGCAGCCTCCTCAAGTCAGCTCTGAAGAGTCATCTAGACTTAAGACATTAACTTGCTGTGTCTCCATGGATGCTGCCTGACCCGCTGTGATTTTCAGCAATTTTTGTTCTGTATCTCATGTACATAATGTGTTTCAAAACTCTGGAGCTCTACCGACACATAAACGTGGCTAAACAGATGTAAACTAGGCTTAACTAAAGCCATTCATACTTCGGACCTAGAAAAGTGAAATATAAGGCTGTTGTTTTGCAGCAGTAATTCAATGGTTTGGTCAGTCAATGGTGTAACGTTGTCTTCTGCTCTCTCTTGGTTTGTCATGGCAGGTGATGAATTTTACATTATAGTAATTATTCTGATAATAGATATGATAAAGTGATGTTTGGTGCCAGTGCTGCGCATTAGGTGCTGGCATCCCAACGTTATAGGATGCTAAGTGCCTGTTGCACAAGCCACACCCTAGTACAATCCTGAAGTGTCTGGTGATGAGAGTCAAACCTGTCATGTACAAAGCTAACCAAAGCCAATACAAAATGACTGGACGGGGGTAAGAGTGATGATGTGAAGGTAGAGATGGTGTGGAAAAATTGGGGACATGCCTAACTCATTTCACCCCTCCTGGGAGTGAAGCCACCCTGCACTCTCTTCTGCCCCACCCCCCTCCTCAACTGCAGGTCCCCTGTCATACCTTAGGGAACTGTCAGACCCCTGCAAATTACTACCTGCGGTCATATGATGTCTGAGGTGTGAAAATGGAATCAAACTGGAAAAATGTTTGGGAAGCACCGCCTTTCCCATTAGCTTTGAAACTAGCAAGTATGATTCCTTTTATGCAAAAAAACAAGACAAATCTACAGGCCGGTTAGCTTAAAATGTCATTAGGAAATTGTTACAAGCTGTTATTAAATTTATAGCAGGACACTTAGATAAATTCATGGTAATCAGGCAGAATCAGCGTGGTTTGAGAGAGAAATCATTATTAAATAAATCTATTAGAGTATTTTGGAAAAGTAACATCTGTGGAGAAAGGGCTGCTGGTGGAAGTACTGTATTTAGATTTTCAAAAAGGTGTTTGATAAAGTGCCATATCAAAGGTATCACAGAAATGAAAACTTAGTGTAAGGACACCATATAGACATGGCCTGAAGATTGACAAAATGGAAGCAAAAAGTATGCATAAATGCATATTTTTCTGGGTGGCAAAATCTAATGCATGGCATAACATTGACATTTTGCTGGGACCTCATCTCTTTACAGTTTTTATATGAAAGACTTTAATTATGGGACCAAAGATAAGGTTGCAAAATTTACTGATGGCACAAGTAGGTAGGAAAGAAAGTTGTGAAGAGGATGTATGGAAGGATATAGGTAGATTAAATGAGAGGGCTAGGATGTGGCAAATGGAGTATAATGTAGAAAAATGTGAAATTAACTACATTTTCAAGAAAAATATTTTTAAAATTATCGAAAATAATGAGCGATTGTAGAGCTCTGGAATCCCGAACGATGTGGGTGGCATAGTGCCTGTATGCACATACAGCAGCAAGTATTAGAAAAGCTAATCAAATGTTATTGTTCATTGTGAGAGGGAATTGAATACAAAAGTAGTGAGGTTATGTTTCGGTTGTCCAGGGTGTTGGTGAGACCAGAACTGGAGCATTATGTACAGCATTGGTCATCTTATTGGTCATCAAATGTAGTAAATACATTTGGTTATAGTTCAGAGAAGATTTACCAGACTAATATCTGGAATGGGCAGGTTGTTTTAACAGGAAAGGTTGGAAGGCTAGGCTTGTATTTTCTGGAATTTACCAGAATGAGAGTCAACTTGATTGAACTAAATAAGACCCTGCAGGATAGATCAGGAGAGGGTGTTACTTTTATGGGAGAATCTACAACTAGAGGGGTCACCCTTTTGAAAATAAGGGTTGCCCATTTAAAAATAAGGATGAGGAAAAATTTCTGAGGGTTGAGTCTTTAGAGCTCTCTCTGAAAAGGCAGTGAAAGCAGAGTCTTTGTAGGTTGCTAAGGCAGAAATGCATAGATCCCTGGTAAACAAGTGGTTGAAAAATTTATTGGGCATAATGGAGAATGTGGAATTGAGGTTGCAATCCATGGTCTTATTAAATGATGGAACAGGCTCAAGGGATTGAATGTCCTACTTTTGTTTGTATTTGTATTTAAATTTAATTTTAAGCTGTAGAATGGCTTGTCGTTGCATTTTAGTGCCAAAATAGTACTTTTGTATCTCCAGTGTAAAAAAAAAAAAAGTGTGCTGTATAAGCTACTATTTTTATTGATTCATGGGTTATGGGTTTTGCTGGCCAGGGCAGCCATTATTCTTCATTTCCTAATTGTCCTTGAAGATGGTAGTCATCTTGAACTGTTGAGGTCCATTGACAAGTAGTGCTGTTGGGGAATTGCAGGATATTGAGCAGCAACTCTGAAGGATCAGTGGTGGTATGTGACTTGGGTGGGGCCATATGGGTTCTGGTGTTTCCATGCTGCCCTTGTCCTTCTTGGTGGTAGAGGCTTTGCTTGGAAGATGATGTGGTGAATTGCAGTACATGTTGTAGATGGTGTACACTGCTG